TGTGTGTGTAGGGCTGTGTGTAGGAGGACTGTGTGCAGGGCTGTGTGCAGGGCTGTGTGTAGGGCTGTGTGTAGGGCTGTGTGCAGGGCTGGCAGGGCTGTGTGTAGGGCTGTGGTGTGTAGGGCTGTGTGTAGGGCTGTGTGTGTGCAGGGCTGTGTGTAGGGCTGTGTGTAGGGCTGTGTGTGTGCAGGGCTGTGTACAGGAGGACTGTGTGTAGGGCTGTGTGTAGGGCTGTGTGTAGGGCTGTGTGTAGGGCTGTGTGTAGGGCTGGCTTCTCAGTACTTGGAAGCTGATGAATCTTCCCAGGTTTGAGTGCAGATTTTTTTTCCCTGCTCAGCTGAGAGTTTGCAAATGAGCAACAAGAAGAGCCCTTTCCCCTCACTATTCTCCCAGATTCCATGTTTCACATGGTTTGGTTTTTTTTCTTTCATTCTTTCCTTTTCTCTTCTACATTTTCCCCTGAAGACACACGGGAGAAAATAAGAGGGGAAGCAGAGCAGGAGGGAATAGGGAGGAGGCAGCTTCACAGGGAGGTAAAGTTGCAAGCCAACAGAAAGGCTGCTGAGGTTCTTCTTTGGATTGCAAAGCCTGAACATCACACAGCTGTTTGGAAGAGAACAAGCCAAAGCCTCCCTGTGCTGATAGCAGTGGGATAAGCCACTGCCCCACGGGGTCCTCACCCTCCCTCTGGTCCTGCTTGGCTCCTCGGCGAGGAGCTCTGCAAACCTCACCTTTGGGTACCATCTCCAAAGACACCTCCTTCATCTTTGAGGCATTAGCAGCAGAGGAATGTGCTGCTTCTGAATGGCAGGAGCTTGGCAAGACCAGTGGCCCGTGTAGATGCCGGGGTCAGGCAAACAAACCAGCCAGCCTGGCAGCCACAGCACGGAGAGGCTGTTTCAAGGAAAGAACAGGCTGTTTGTTTATCCTCAGCGATGGATATTGGCTGAAATGTGAAATGAAAGTTCTTCACTACACTTATTTCTTCTATTCTGTGATTTCTTTATCCTTCTCTGTGTGTGTATCCTGGACAAAGGATGTCCAGTAATTGTATTTTATATTTTTTTTTTCAAATACTTTTCTTTGGCCATTGCTGCTCTTGCAGCCACGGATGGTGCTTGGGGGTTGCTGCTGCTGTGGCAGGTTGCACCTCAGAGTCACCGTGCTGGTTCAGAGCAGCAGCTGAGCACTGTGTTGCTCAGGGAGCCTCAGGAACTCAGGGTCTGTGTTTAGGTTCAGCTGGAGCCCATAGAGAGGAGTCTGGTGACAGCAGCACGGGGATGGGGAGTGTTGGAGCTGAGATGACAGGCAGGGTCAGGTAACAGGTCTGTTCTGGGAGGACAGCTCCTGGGATGTGCCCAGTGACCCTCTGTCTCCCTGGCCTGGAGAGGGGTGGGCACCTAAACTTCAGAGACATCAAACCAGGTCTTGGTAGTGCCCAGGAGGTGCCAGACAAGACCTTTCCCAGCAGGACTGTCTGTGTGCTCCGACCTGGAGACACTCCTGATTTGACCCGTGAACTCCTCTGTGACTTCCTCTAGTGTCTTAACTCGTGAGCCCCTCCAGCTGCCCCAGCACCCCGAGGAGCAGGCTGTGCCCTCCTGCCAGGGGCTGCAGGGCAGGGGGCTGTTGCCTTGGGTGTTTCTATGGTGGCAGCTGCTGAGCTGCCCTGCTCCCCGTGCCTGGCCCGGGGTGTGTGCCAGCCTTGCTGCTGCCCCCCGAGCTCCAGCCGTGGCAGGAGGTGCTGCTGCCTCCAGGTGAGGTCAGCTCTGCTGCAAGCTCAGACGTGAGGGTCAATCACTCTGTGTTTTGGGGGGCTGCCCTCTCTGCCTGCAGCCTTTGCCTGCCTCTCGTGCTCTCCCTGGGGGAGGCCGAGCAAAGAGGGGCTTCATCTTCTCCCTACCTGTGCCACACCTGGCCTGGCAGGACCCCCTTGTCCCGTGGGAAACTGCTGCAAGGAGGATCTTGTGTGAGCTTTTCTCAACGTGTGGCTTAGGAGGAAAGGCTGAGAGACCTGGGGCTGCTCAGCCTGGAGAGGAGAAGACTGAGGGGGCATCTAATAGTGTCTATAAATACATGAGGGCATCAAGAAGGCAGGACAAGCTCTTGTCACTTGTGCCCTGGGACAGGACGAGGGGCAATGGATTCAAACTCAAGCCCAGGAAGTTCCACCTCAACATGAGGAAGAACTTCTTTGCTGTGAGGGTGACAGAGCCCTGGGACAGGCTGCCCAGAGAGGCTGGGGAGTCTCCTTTGGAGACTTCCAAGACCTGCCTGGATGCCTTTCTGAGTGACCTGCCCTAGGGTTTTTTGTTTTCTTTTTTGGTCCTGCTCTGGCAGGGGGTTTGGACTCAATGATCCTTGAGGTCCCTTCCAGCCCCTGCTGTCCTGTGATTCTGTGATTCTGTCTTTATTCAAACCACTGCAGGGGGGTGAGTTTCAAAGGACTTAACGAGTGGTGAACTTTGTTTGAGCCTCGTGATGTGTGGGTTTGGAGGAGATCTGCTGAGCATCCGTGTGTGAACACCTGTCCTTCCCTTCCTGTCCTAGGATTTTAGATAATGGGCTGTGTGCAATGTAAGGATAAAGAAGCAACGAAACTGACTGATGAGAGGGATGGCAGCTTAACTCAGAGCTCAGGCTACCGCTATGGGACAGACCCCACCCCGCAGCACTACCCCAGCTTTGGAGTCACTTCAATCCCAAACTACAACAACTTCCACGCCACAGGAGGCCAAGGACTGACTGTGTTTGGTGGAGTCAATTCCTCCTCCCACACAGGGACGCTGCGGACGAGAGGAGGAACTGGTGAGTTTCAAAGTCCCTCTCTGTGCTCCTGTGAGTGCCAGGCAGGTGAGCACAGCTGGTCTCAGCCACTTGCTTTTGGGAGCAGCTCTTTCATTATGGTGCCAAGAATCAAAGGTGGGTCTTCAGCCCTACCTCTGCTGACTGACTTGCAGGTGCTAGTTCACCTGGGGGGGTCAGAAATTCTGTGTACATGCCCAGTTTGGCTGGTTCACCCCTCTGCCAGGGAATAAAAAGTATGTTCTGAGCCAGCTCAAGTGGTTAAGAGGAAGTACTTGGATTAGCTGTGTCTAAAACCTCTCTTCAAACCCCTGTTGCCTTCTTGGGATCCTCTGCACCGTGTGTGGGTACCAAGCCAAGAGGACTGATGACTCCAAAACTTGAAGGCAGTGGTGTCCCCACTGGCTGCATGAAGGCTCAGGGACTAGAAGGGTTGTCCAAAAGTAGAAGGCTTCAATTTGTTCAGCCTGGAGGAGAGAAGGCTCCAGGGAGACCTTAGAGCAGCTTCCAGGGCCTGAAGGGGCTCCAGGAAAGCTGGGGAGGGGCTTGGGACAAGGGCAGGGAGGGAGAGGACAAGGGGGAATGGATGAAAACTGGAGGAGGGGAGATTGAGGTGAGACATGAGGAGGGAATTGTGGAGTGTGAGGGTGGTGAGAGCCTGGCCCAGGTTGCCCAGGGAAGCTGTGGCTGCCCCATCCCTGGCAGTGTTGAAGGGCAGGTTGGATGGGGCTTGGAGCAGCCTGGGCTGCTGGGAGGTGTCCCTGCCCATGCAGGGGGTTGGGACTGGATGATCTTGAAGGTTCCTTCCAACTCAAACCATTCCATGATTCTATGGTTCAGTTTGTTTTGCTCCTCAGCTACCAGCATAGCTTACATCTGGTTTGCCACCTTGTCTCCTGAGGCTCCTTTCCCTCCTGCTGTTTGTGCTGGAGTGTAACTCCCCTCTCTTTTCCTCAGGTGTGACTCTTTTTGTGGCGCTTTATGACTATGAAGCAAGAACAGAAGATGACTTGAGTTTTCACAAAGGAGAAAAATTTCAAATACTGAACAGCTCGTAAGTTTTCAGCTTGGGAATGTGCTTTTTTGTATTTTTTAACTCACAATGTTGACAATTACATTTGTCTACTTAGGTTATTAGTAAAATCTAAGACTGGATATTCAAGACAGGTAGGGGGTTACTCCATCCCTGCTTCCCCATCTTTGCCTTCAGTACTTTATTATTGAAAAAAAAAGGCAGCTGATACAGTCAGAACATGCTAGGAAGTTCTGTTAAGTGAGAATGCACCATGGTACAGATGCATGTGGCATGAAACTGCAATTCCAGCTCAAAAGTCACCAACTTAAAATGAATTTTATTAACTTCCCATAGCAAAAAAGAAAAAAATCCCTTAGCAATTTAAAAATAACATCTAAAACTTACTGTGCTACTGACCTATATCTGCACATCTTGTAATTCTTGGCTAAGAACATGAAGTTGAAGGTTTGATTTTATGTTCAGTGTTGCTCTCATGTAGAGGTAAAAGTGGGTTACCAACCAAGGGTGTCACTTTCCAGAGGCTTTGGGATGCTGCTCTCATCTTTTCTTCTCACACAGCGTGACACTGAGGCAAATTCATCCCTGGTGCAACTCCTGTTCATTTTAATAGAACAACTCCAGGGTTGGAGTTGGCTCAATGTGCATTAAAGTTAAAAAAACCCAAAACACCAGGTATTTCTGTGGAATATTTCATGAAGCTGAAGAGCTTTGAAGTAGATGAAAGCTCAGAAACTTCAGTTACAACTGGTAGAGGGAGCAGCAGTGTAAAAACCTCTCTACTTCTAAATTAGCACTTGGAGAAAAAGCCCTTTTTTCGTTCACATTGCCTGCTGCTTTCCCAGCCCAGCACACACTGGGACCAAGCTGGAACCAAGAAATCCCACCCAGTGTGAATTCTGTAGGCACAGCAGCTGATGAAACCAGGGAGAGCTCCCTGGGACTTGAGGAACAATCATACCTGGAGCTGGTGGGACAGAGATCCCCCCACGTGTGGGCAGTGGCAGTGCATGCACTGTCAGGCAGGTGAAGCCTGGAGGAAGGTTTCCTAAGGGGAAAAAAAGCAAGTATCCACTGCTTTTCTTGTAGGATTATAGAGCCCAGTTCCCATCAGTCAGCTCTGCCTGCTTGGGAACACAGACCTCACCACACTCCTGGAGCCAGGCTGGACATCTCCAGAAAGCAGCTTGTCTGTGAGAATGCCTCCTCTCTTCACTTGTAGCAGAAATTATATGAAAGAAGCCCATTTTTGTAAGAGTCTGCCAGTGCTGCTGCAACCAGAGAGCATCCACATGCACACAAGTAGCTTGTCTGTAATTTTTTTGGGGGGTGGATTTATTTATTATTATTTATTATTTTTTTTAGTTCTCCAACAAATGAAATTCAATTAAAAGTCCTGGGCAGCAGCACCTGAAAGGGTGTAGGGAGGGTATCCCTGGAATTTGAAATCGGAAATGATCTCAAGGAAAGAAGTGCCTGCAGGGCTGGCTCAGAGCAGAGCCTGACTTGGGGGGTTCAGCAAGACTCAGCCCCCCCCTGCATCCCCATCCTGCCCTCCCTGACAGCTCCATGGATCAGCCTCCCCCTGCCAAAATTCAGAGCTGGGAAAACCCTCTGCCTTCCTCCTCCTTCCTGGCAGTGCTTGGAGAGGTTTCAGCTTATCTGTCAAAGCAGAGAGGCTTGTTCTTGATGTTGTGATCATCCAGGGGACTGATGGTTTTTTTCCTCCCTGGCCATGATAAAATACCTCCATCTAGTGGACTGACTGTACAGCAGGGGGAGGAACTGGACTGGTAACATTGATCAGCCACAGTTTGGCATAAGCTCTCAGAAATATTCAACAGCAACACATGGGGGAAGGGTTAGCACTTCAGCTGGGCACAGGAGGGACACAGACAGACATAAAATACCTCCATCTAGTGGACTGACTGTACAGCAGGGGGAGGAACTGGACTGGTAACATTGATCAGCCACAGTTTGGCATAAGCTCTCAGAAATATTCAACAGCAACACATGGGGGAAGGGTTAGCACTTCAGCTGGGCACAGGAGGGACACAGACAGACACAGGGGCATCTGCCTGACGTGCACACACACGTGTCCAGGGTGTGTTAGAACAGCATCAGTTGCCAGCCCCTAGAAAAGCTGCTTGTTCTTCACTTTTTTGAACTGTAAAACCCAGAGCACCTCCTCTTTGACTAATCACAGCTGGTTTCTGGTTGCTTTCCACACTCGATCAAACCGTCACAGAAAGTGGAGTTGAAAATTTCAAGTAAGAGCTCACCTTGCTACAAGCTTTCCTGCCAGCAATAGCTGACACAGTCTGCTCGCTGGGACCTCCTGCATCCCCTGCCACCTTGGAGAACAGGGTTTTATTTACTGAGCAGATCCCTGCTTGGCAGAGAGGGGAACTGAGAAAGAGTTTCCAAGCAGCCAAGAAATAGAAAAGAGAATGTTTCTTAGTAGTGGTAGGAGATAAACACTGGAGAATGTCCTGCTGGGAAAGAGACAGATACAAATTGCTAAATCACAAGTCGTTGTGTCCTGTAAAAAGCTCAGAAATAAACTTCTCTTAAAGCTGGGCCCTCTGCAGCAACTGGCTGAAGGGCAGGCCCCTGTCCCACTGTGGGAACCAGTGTACAACCTGAAATCACAGTCATAGATCCACAGACTGGCTTGGGTTGGAAGGGACCTTCAAGACCACCCAGTCCCACCCCCTGCATGGGCAGGGACACCTCCCACCAGCCCAGGCTGCTCCAAGCCCCATCCAACCTGCCCTTCAACACTGCCAGGGATGGGGCAGCCACAGCTTCCCTGGGCCAGGCTCTCACCACCCTCACAGGGGTGATGATGCTCAGCCTGTGCAGCACAGCAGTGAGATGGTCCTGCATGGACCTTGTCACACCTACATGTTGTACAAGTCTCTTTCAAGTCTTTGAAAATGAGTCCTTTGCTACTCAGAGATGCCTCCTCCAGGTGGCCAGAAGAGGGAATCTCAGGCAATGAAGTGTGATCCTTGAGGGCCATCTCAGGCTCCACCTGATGGATGGCTTCTTGGTGCTTTGGGGTTTCAGATTCATTACCCCCACGGAAGCTTAAAATGCCCTGTGGCTGTGACAGTGCTCAGTGTGTGGCAGCTCTTCTGCCAGCTCCCTCAAGGGTCTGGGTCAGAAAACCTGCTGTGGAGGCAGTTCCCAGTATTCTAGTCCAAATCCAGCCCCCACCAGCCCTGACCTCACTGTTCATACCATTGTGCTACATTTGGAAGGCAACATCACTGATCACCACGGAAATAAGAGTAGGTGTGAAGAAATGTGGGTATGATGGGTGTTGAGAAGCAAACAGCTCCCTCAGAAGCTCATCAGGTGAGTTACTGAGGCTCCTCAGCCCCTGCAGCTGTGGGTGCTGTCAGCAAAGCCATGACCACTGTCTCTCAGGTGTGTGTCTCACTCTCATTTCTCTTCCTCACCTCTGTTTCTGCAGGGAAGGAGACTGGTGGGAGGCCCGGTCCCTGACAACAGGAGAAACTGGTTACATTCCCAGCAATTATGTGGCTCCAGTCGATTCCATCCAAGCAGAGGAGTATGTTTTCTTTTTCTTGCAAGGACCCATTAGTGCTGCCTTTGGTCTGAGCAGTTGGCTTTGATTGATTGCAGCCAGTTTTCAAATGACTCACATTATTTTTATTTCAGTTCTTAACTGCACTGGTAAATAATTAGGTCATTGGTAACAAAGGGAGCACAAGCTGGGTGCTTTTCTGATGTGAAAACAAAGGATGAAAACCTAAAGGAGCACAGGTCTGCTTCCTTTAGCCAAGTGCCATCTGATTCCAAGCTTCAGTCTAAAGGTGCCCTTGCTTTTCCTGAGTCAACTCGTTAAAATATTTGGGGTCAATTAGTGTGCAAACTGTCTCTTCAGGGAGGCAGCAAACAGCCAGCAGTAGGCAGGAAGCAGCACCGTGGGGAGGTGTCAGTGGGAGGATGGAATGCTGTGTGCATCCCCAGGGCTGCCAGTCTGCAGGAGACACTGGAGGAGTGGGTGTAGCTGAGCAGATGCTGCTGCAGCCTGTACCTCAGCTTGTACTTGCTTTATGGTGAAGCAGAAAGCAAACAGAACCACGAAGCAGAACACAAAAACTGCTGCAGAAAGGACAAGAGGCCAGAAGTCTGAGAGCCTGGTAGAGCCACAGTGAAGTGGTGACATCTGGCCCATCTCCTGGGGTTTTGTAGCTGTGCTGCAATAGAGAGGCTGAGCACCCACACCACTGTGCAGGTCAAACGTGGAGGTTGTAGCAACACCTGTAAAAATCCTGCTTTCCAGCAGCCACACACTTTTCTGCCCTTTCCCTTGTCTATCCCTGCCCCTGCCACGTCTTGCTCTGGTTGTCACAGTCCAGCCACTTCCAGAGGGCACTGAACAGACATTCCCAGCACCTGCTGGTGCAGCTTCGTGCAAGGTGCTGCTGCTCCAGGTGTGCAGCATCTGCTGCACATCCCTCCCTGTGCCCTTCCCACCACAGGGACACAGGGTGACAGAGATGGTTGAGCACCCCAGAGTCAGGGTGGTTTCTGCAGGCAGCCCCGTGTCCCAGCACTGGGGGGGGAGGCTGTGCAGCATCCATCTCACTGCTCCTGCTGTTCCCCTCAGGTGGTACTTTGGCAAACTGGGCCGAAAGGATGCAGAGAGGCAGCTGTTGTCATTTGGAAACCCCAGAGGTACCTTCCTGATCCGGGAGAGTGAAACTACCAAAGGTGAGTATGGCCAGAGCTACTCTGGCTATGGAGGGGGAGATACATGAGAAAAGTGGTGCTGGGTTTGTGCAGTGCTCCTTGCAGTGGTGTGAAGGGAGAGATGAGTGTCATCTTGTGGCTGTGTGTGCTGGGGAGTTAGATGTCTGGGCATAGCAGGGCCTGGTGTTCAGGGCAGAGAACAATCCAAGTGCAGCCCTTGCCATGCTCAACCCGAGGTGCCTGCAGTGCCAGGCAAGCCCAGGCAGGGTGCTCTGCTCTGCTGCCACCCTCAGAGCATCCCCCATCTCCTCCCTGCCTGTGCTCAGGGTACTGCTGCTCCAAGGGGCTGGGTGGAGAGTGGCCCCTCAGAACTGCAGCTGTGGAGCTGCAGGAGACAGAGCTCCTGGTGTCCACATCCAGCTCCAGTCACAGGCAGCTGGATCCTGAGAGCAGATGCTGGGAGCTGGTTTAGTGAGAATTGCTGCTTCCTTCTGGACAAGCAGAATATTTTAACCTTCTTGCCTGGAAGACGTAAGAGAATGGTTTTTTTGGGGGGTGGAGCTACTGGTTTTATTTGGGGGTTTTTGGCCTTTGAAATGGGGCTGTTCAGCCTGGAGAAGAGAAGGCTCCAGGGAGACCTTAGAGCACCTTCCAGTGCCTGAAGGGGCTCCAGGAAAGCTGGGGAGGGGCTTGGGACAAGGGCAGGGAGGGAGAGGACAAGGGGGAAGGGATGAAAACTGGAGGAGGGGAGATTGAGGTGAGACATGAGGAGGGAATTGTGGAGTGTGAGGGTGGTGAGAGCCTGGCCCAGGTTGCCCAGGGAAGCTGTGGCTGCCCCATCCCTGGCAGTGTTGAAGGGCAGGTTGGATGGGGCTTGGAGCAGCCTGGGCTGGTGGGAGGTGTCCCTGCCCATGCAGGGGGTGGGACTGAAGGTCCCTTCCAACCCAAACCATTCTGTGATTCTGTGAAATGCTGGATGCATGGGGAAAGAAAAAAGAAAAAAACAAAAAAGTAACATTTTTAAATGCACAAATTAACAGTGAAAAGACTTGAAAATTGTTTCTAATTAATATATTCATAAAGTATTCAATTGTATCCATTCTGTTGAAGTCAAGTGGAAGGATGTATTTTCCTCCTTCCCTCTAAAATATTGGAGGAGTTCCAGTTTTCTTGGTGGGTGCTGTCTTTGCTGTTACATTTTGTTGATGAGCCCTGTCAACAGCTTCAAAGCTTCACATGTATGAATAGATTTCTCTAATTCATACAACTATTGAGGAGATAACCTGCAACTAAGTGAAAACAAACCTGGCCATTTCTCAATTAACGAGCAGTCCAAAACAATAGCTGTGGGAAGCATTAATCACTAGAATTAATTCCATGTAAGTTCTGAAGTCTCATGATGGTTCATGTAATTAAAGCCCTGACTTGTCAGAGCAGACACTGGCAGCTGGAGTTAGCAAAGAGGTTGGAGTCATGGTTGGAAAGGAGCTTAAGGAAGAACCACAGACTCCCAGAGTGGTGTGGTTGGCAGGGAGCTCTGGAGATCACCCAGTCCAACCCCTGCCAGAGCAGGATCCCCTAGAGCAGATCCCACAGGAACACAGCCAGGTGGGGCTGGAATGTCTGCAGGGATGGAGACTCCACAGCCTCCCTGGGCAGCCTGGCCCAGGGCTCTGGGACCCTCACAGGCAAGAAGGGTTTCCTCATCTCCAGCTTCAACCTCCTGGGCTCCAGTTTGTGCCCATTGCCCCTTGTCCTGTCCCTGGACACCCCTGAGCAGAGTCTGGCCCATCCTCCTGACACCCCCTGCAGATATTGAGCAGCACTGAGCAGATCCCCCCTCAGCCTCCTTTTCTCCAGCTGAACAGCCCCAGCTCTCCCAGCCTTTCCTCACAGGCAGATGCTCCAGCCCCTGCAGCATCTCAGTGCCCTGTGCTGGGCTCTCCCCAGTAGTTTCTGTCCTTCCTCTCCTTCAGGAGAAGCACAGCCCACTCCTCTCTGCCTGCCCCATCTCCAGATCTTCTCTGTTATCCAAGATTCCATGTTTGACATTTTTTACTCACCACCTTTAACTCTGGGGACTGTTTCTGGTGCAAAACCTGGCTGGACATGCTGCTGTCTCAGACAGCTGTTTTCCCATCTTGTCACCCCACAGCTTCACCCTCCCTGACGTAGCAGGGAGGCATTGACCCCAGGAGCAGGGCAGGCTCCAACTTGCTCTTTTTCTGCAGATAGCCTCCACCTGCTCCTTTGCAGCAGCAGTTGGTGTGATGGACTTCATTCCTCCCTGGGCTGAGTCTGAGAACTCAGTCCTGCAGACAATCCTGGAGCCTCCAAACAGAGACAGCACTTCATCCAAGCCCGTGGCCACTGCTGTGGCCAGTTTTTATACAGCCATATGGAATGTGTTGTGCAGGGCTCTTTGCTTGGCTAAGACAGGGCTTTTTGGTGGAGCTTCTTGTGAGACACAAAAGCATCAGGGAAATGGAGTCATCCATCATGGAAAGACTTGGAGCAGCCAGTTTCATTTCTCTGTGCTGGAACTCAAGGCTTTCTACATCTTCAGGCTAAGTTTGCATCAAAGCCATTGGGAAAAACCAAACATGCATGGTTTTTGTCAGAAATGCCTGTTTCCCCTCTCATCCTTGGGGCATTTCAGTGTGTTAGAAGAAAGCAGGGGGAGCTTGTTGTTCATGGGAGAGACAAAAGTCAGCTGGGAGAGCTCGAATGGTGCCTGTCCCTTAAGTCCTCCCTTCTCCAGCTGCTCCTCTTGGGCTTGAGGCAGGAGTTGCTTTGTGACCTAGAATTGTCCCTTCTGCTTTAAGTAATACCAATAATAAAATGAATTAGAATCACTTTAAAAGTATCATCATGGATGAGGGCAGCAGAAATTCAACCTCCCTTGATCATTGTTGCCTTCTCTTCTTACTTCCAAAATAAATCACATGGAAATGGCTTTTCATATTTTCAGTGCCCAACTACCCAGGTACTTTGTCATCTCTGGGCTGTGTGATCCTTCACCTGGTTTCAATCTCCACCCTCCAAGCCTGTCTGGTTTTTGGTTTGTTGTTGCTGTTGTTGTTTTAAATTCATTAGTATGATATATTGTTATGTCGTATTCCTGTCCAGAGTTTTAATTATGTGTATCTCTTATATTGGAGTTTATCCTCAGATTGTAATGAATAGTATAAATAACCAGCAGCCTAAATAAGCTACTAATGAAATCCATCTCGGTTCTTGGTTTTGTCCAGATTTGAACTAAAGCTCCAGCCCTGCAACTTGATCTGAGGTCATTGGGGGTCCACAGGGGGCCACCCACACAGCTCTGGTTGCAGACCTGGAGCCACAGATTGTTTACATCTTCCTTAAGAATCTAAAATAGTGAGCAGATAGGCAGGGAGTGAGACTGAAGCAGACACAGCTGCTGCCAGGGGGTCAGAACTCCCAAACGGGGAGGTGGAGAATGTCAGAAGTGGTGCAGGGAGGTGACACCCAGAGAGCTGGCACCAAGCATGCACAGGATGTGCTGGAAATCCCCAGAAAGCTCTGAGCTCTTAGCTGGGAGAGCTGGACCTTGTAGGAGAAGCTCCTCAGACAAGTATCCTGAAGAGACAGGACTTTTCTGCACTTAGGAAGAAAAACCCTGTCCCTCCTCTCAGGGTGTCTCAGCAGAAACCAGAGTCATCTGTGTAAGTGCTGGCTCTTGTCCTCCTATGCAGAGGACAAACAACAGGGAGTTTAAGAAGTCCTTGGAGTCAGGGTGGAGACATTTTGTCCTGCAGCTCCCTTGGCACCAGCCACTCCCAGTGGGACCTGTGGCAGGTTGATGTGGTCAGGGAAACATCTTCCCGGAGAGACATCCAGGAAAGACATCTCACACCAGGATCTCAGCCCCCTAACCTGGGGGGGGTTGTGTGTATGTGTCTTTAAACCATTTTGCTTAGCTGGAGGTGGTACTGGAGGATGTGAGCCTGCCAGCCCTGGGCTGGGATAAGCAGCAGGCAGTGCTGTTTGCTGTCAGACCCACAGGAAATCACCTTTCACCTTGTCCAGAATTGTCTGCTGGTGCTTTTCCTTTCCTGCCCTCAGCTGACATGGTAACCAGTGAAAGCAGCACAGGCTCCAGAAGAAGGACCTTTCTGAGATCTCTGCAGCTGCCAGTTGCCTCCGTTTGTTTTCCTTTCAATGTCTGGATGAGCTTGGAGTAAAGACAGTATTCATCCTAGTCAGGACTGAGGACTTGTCTTGGAAATGGCCGTGTCTCTTGCTCAGGAGCTGCCCTGGGCTGTAAGCTGGGGCTTTGCCCAGCTGTGGTTGGGCATCTGAATCCCACCAGGAAGATCTCAAGCTCCAGCAACTGGATTTGGCAAGTGGAGCTTGCAGTTCTTGCAGATGTCCTGGTGCACAGGCTTGGTGTGGCACCACGTGCCAGAGCCTCTGACATGCACAGCGTGCTGGTTGGTTGGTGCTCATCAGGCAGTGTGGGATGCGTCTGGGTAACAACACTACACATGTATGAGGTCATTCTCTCCAGCACTTCTGATGAAAATCTTGATAGTTACTTCCCCCTGGTATTTAGCTGAAGTTGGTTGGAAGGGACCTCAAAGATCACCCAGTTCCAACCCCCTGCCATGAGCAGGGAACCACCAGCCCAGGCTGCACAAACCCCATCCAACCTGGCCTTAAAAACCTCCAGGGATGGGGCATCAACAGCCTCCCTGGGCAACCCATCCCAGCTCCTCACCACCCTGAGAGTGAAGAATTTCTTCCTCATGTCTCACCTAAATCTCCCCTCTCTCAGTTTAAAACCATCACCCCTTGTCAATTTAAGAACCCGAGGCAGTAAATGTTAAAATGTGGGGTTTGTCCTGATTTCTTTCTAGAACATCATGAAAGGGACACGGTGTGAACACGATGGGATTTCCCTGATCCTTAGCTCCCTGTGTGACATCCACTCAGGTTTTCCCAAGGTGCAGTCAGCATTTTTTGGAAGCCATTTCTCTTTCCCTTTCTATCAAGTGGCCAGAAAAACACCACCTTTCTGTGTGAAAGCTGCTTACCATGTTTTATTCCTCCTTTGCTTGGAACAGGTGCCTATTCCCTGTCCATCCGAGACTGGGACGATATGAAGGGGGATCATGTCAAACATTATAAGATCCGTAAACTCGACAATGGAGGATATTATATCACAACTCGGGCACAATTTGAAACCCTGCAGCAGCTGGTTCAGCACTACTCAGGTAATTTTTCAGATAATACACAGCCCTCTGAAGTATTTGAAAACACAAGTGTTTGCTGCTGAGCTGATAGACGTGTGAGAGGCCCAGAGGAGTCATTTGAGCTGTGTCTCCTGCTTCTTGTAAAGCATCTGCTGTTACCCCTTCCCACTGCAGTTACCAATGGCTTTGGGGGCCATTCACAGGGCACAGCAGCAGAGCTTTTAAAAGCTGCTGCTCTGCTGAGGGAGAGCTCTCCTTTTACCTGCTCTTCCTCTTCTAAGCAAACAGGATTCCTGACTTTGACTGGCTCAGCTCAGAGCATGAATTCCCTGCACGTGTAACCCGTGCCATTTGGCAGCCTGCTGTAATTGCTGATATTGCTCATAAAGCCAGCAGGGAATTGCACTCTGGGATGCAGTCACCTAAAGCAGTGACCAAAAGGTTCACATAGATGACCTGGCTCCCAATTTTCCCACTGGATGTGTGTTCAATGTGCTAAATATTAACATTTAAGTTGCAACTGGTCTAATCTTTTTTAAATGGGTGTTTCTTTGTGCACTGCTTGTGCCCACCCACCAAGCTCTTTTTTTCATTTCTGGTTTTTAAATTCCAGGGATTAAAATGTGTCTTGCACTGTTCTCCCCAAAAGTGCATCCTGCTGTCCCTGGTGATTAATGTCCAACAACTTTAAATGCCCCCAAATGCTGCATAAGACAATCAGGTCTCACGTAGAAGACTTGCTTCTCAATATGGTCATTTTTTTAAGCAGAAATGTGTGGTTTGAATCATTTTCCTTTTCATTTTTTCCTTACTTTAGTCTCTCATATTAACAGATGACCTCAAGTGCTCGCTGCTCCAAAATTTGCATATTTTTTTTTTAACTTGGGAAATCAACTTCTCTGTGGGGTGTTTTTTTCTGTATTCTTTGTATTTGTCTGCTGTATTCTTATGCTATTCATACTAGACATCTGGCTGTCTTCTCTGCCCAGTTTCTGATGGATATTTCCTGCCTGGGAGAATTTCTAGTTGTTTCTGGTGACTCTACATTAAACTTAGCTAAGTAATGTAGAAAAACTTACATACAGGGAAGATAATTTTCAGCCCCGCTCTACCAGCTGGAATATGTCAACTTTTAATTTTCTGTGGTCAAATGACTTGGGTGGTGGATTTTCCATGCACAGATGCAGATACAAATAGATCTGGAAACAGCCCTGTCTGTGCCACACAGAGGTGTAACCAGGAGGATCCAGGGAGGGTAGCTCAGGAGGGTACAGACCCACACTCAGAGCTTCCACCTGCAGTCTCCCAGACCCAGGTGAACCCAGGAGTCCTCATTCCATGCCAGCCCCAGCTGGCTTAAAACATAGAGGCTGCTTTTTGCCCCCTCTCTGCACTCTGGATTGTGGCAGGTAGATTAGCACAGCACCTCGTGAGTGCCTGGATTGAATCCTAGGGAGAGCTGGAAGAAGCCCCAGTGACTCCATAAAGATCAGCCTCATTGCTGAGGCTGCAGGGCAGTGCCTTCACAGCAGGACAGGGCTTCTCTGCAGCCCACCCTTCAGCCTTCTCCCCAAAGCTGTCCAGACTGGAAGAGCCCTCTTCTCCAGGCAGCTGGAATCCAGGCAGCCAGGTGGAGTGCAGGTCTGGTCTCATGTAGCAGTCCTGGGTCAGGAGTTGGCAGCTGAAAGTGTCCCCTAGTGCAGACACAACACAGGTGTCCCAGCAATGGGCTCTCCTGGCTCTGCTGGGTACCCTTGTTACCCAGACTTTCCTCTTACCCCAGCTTCTTCTTACCTGAATGATGAAGTTCATGGTATCATAGAATCACTGAGGATAGAAAAGACCTCTAAGATCATCAAGTCCAACTGTCAACCCAACCATGCCAACTAAACCGTGTCCCAAAATGTCAAGTTTGCAGGTTTTTTAAACAGCCCCAGGGATGGTGACTCTGCCATTTCCCTGGGCAGCCTGTTCCAATGCCTGACCACTCTTTCAGTGAAGAATTTTTTCCTAATATCCAATCTAAACCTCCCCTGGCACAACCTGAGGTCATTTCCTCAGAGCTTTTATTTTTCCACTAAAGAAAACAAGGAGGTCTTAAAAACCTGCTGGTTCTTTCTGGAGCTGCCCAAACTCATGAGGAAGCTTTCCAGATATGGTCCATGTTTTGAGTAGTCCCTATCCTGATGTTCCCATTGGAATTACCCTGGAATAAGACATGCCAGCTGGTCAGCTAATCTTCCCTGTTTTGTGCTCTTTGCTGTCTTGCTGCAGGAGACACAATGAGGTCCATGTCAGGGTGTCTGTAGGGAGTTCCCCACCACCCCACAACACCTGTGCTGAGGAGGCAGAGCTTGGTGTTGCCAGGAGCTTCACTGCTTGCCCACCTTGTGGTGCTGAGACAAACTCCTCCCCTGCCCAGAAAGAAATCCTGCACAGGAGGATAAAAATGATGTTTGAGGCTGAAATGCAGCTGCAGTTCCCCACCTTGTTCTGCTCTGCTGTAGTCTGCTTTGTGCAGCACAGTGTGCTACACAGCAATCTGTGTGTTTATATACACATTTTTATAAATAGACTTACTTTTACTCCTGCTAAAATATCCTGTGACACCTGTCACAGTTCAGGCTGCTGTGGAGCTCTGCAAGGGACAAGTGTAATGAATCTGCCCCAAGTGATGTAGGACTGGCTGCATAGGCTGATAAAAGGTTTGGTCGGGAAAGAATGGCAGAAAAAGTCACCCCCAAAACCACCTTTTTGCTGAGTATAATACAGGAAATACCTTTTCCCAGGATGCCTACAAAACAAACTAGCAGGAGTCCAACCAAGTTTTCATCGCTGTGATTTTCGGAACGAGTGAATCTTCCCTGGGCTTCTTTTTGCTCAGTACAGAAGCAATCCAGGTTGTGACTCACAGCTGGTTTTTCAGGAGTCACACAGCACTCTGGTGCACCAGCTGCCTGTGAAGTGACCCTCACACAGCCCTGTGGGAGAAGGGAAACCCTGAGTCCATCAGAGAAACCCCTGGTGGTCCCTTCCGTGTCAGGCTGTGGAAGCAGAGCCTCAAATGTTTCCTGCCCTGTCTCCCATGAATATGCCTCAGTGTCCATTTTCTAATCCTCCAGGATGCTCTGTGGTTTTTTTGCAACTAACAGCTGTTGTGAGTAGCGTTGGGTTTTTTTTATGCTTACTGTTTTTGTTTCATGTCACCCTGTTTTTTCTTTCCTCTCCTTTGCTGTTGGCTTCACTTCTGGCTCCATCAGAGAGAGCTGCAGGTCTTTGCTGCCGCTTAGTAGTGCCCTGTCATAAAGGAATGCCAAGGCTTACTGATCTGTCTGTCAAAACCAAAGATGTCTGGGAAATTCCACGAGAATCCCTACAGTTGATCAAGAGACTGGGCAATGGGCAGTTTGGGGAAGTATGGATGGGTATGGAGCACAATGATTATTCTAAAATCGCTCTCTGTGTGGGGATTGCAAGATGGAAGGTGGAAATGGAGGGCACTGTGACCCCCAAGGGAGGGCAAAAAGAAAGAACAAAGCTCAAGCCTTTAGCAAAAGTGTCTTTGGGATCCTGCCTTGGACACTGAAATTCTTTAATCTTCAGCTTTCACTGTAATTGATGGCAAAAGAAAACCGAACACCCGGGTTTCCTTGCAAGGTTTTGATCTTGACAAATTGCCACTGTCTTAATAATAAATCAAGGCTGGAGCAGTAATCTGTTAATGAGACCAAGGAGCCTTTTTCTGTGAGCTAACAGAAAACTCCACACCTTCAGCATCCAGAACTCAGTGTTTGCAGCTGGACTTTAATGCAGCACTGAGAGACAAGTCACCTTCCATCTTTCTCAATGCATGCGTAATTTTGGATTATAAGTGTGTTTTTTTTATTAATTTCCTCTCCTATAGAGAAAGCTGATGGTTTGTGTTTTAACTTAACTGTGATTGCTACGAATAATACCCCACAAACTGTTGGATTGGCTAAAGATGCATGGGAAGTTGCACGTGATTCATTATTTCTGGAGCAGAAGCTTGGTCAGGGCTGTTTCGCTGAAGTGTGGCGTGGTAAGGCAGAGAATATATTTTGCTTTGGATGGATCTTTTAAGGCCCTCTTGGCAGAAATAAACATTTCAAGTTGAGATCTGTAAGCTAAAAGGTCAGAATAGTGTGACATGGTGGTCCAGGTTGCCTAAACCAGTCAGACCCAACTCCAGTAATCCAGGGGGAAACTTCCTTTCACTTGCACACGCTGGTGTGAGAGGTCAGGGCATTAAACTCCATTAACTGCCTTGGGTTTACCTGGGTGACTACACAATTACTAGCTATTACCATAGGAACAATGCTGGTAAGGCAGGTCAGGATGGCTCACCAGAAATTAACCTGGTAAGTGGACATTCCAATTTCCTCGTGTGTTTCAGCACCGATGGGATCAGCCCCTGAAAGTGCCTCCATCTGCTCTCCCAGTTTAAAAATAATGGCAAGGATCAGCAAGCTGGTATTGTCAGGCTGGCTTTGCATCCACTTCTTGAAGTCTGTTTCGAAGTTTGTATCTGCAGCAGGACCCCATAACTCCATATACAGACCAGGGACAATAGAGGCAAGACTTGCCCAGCCCAGCTGAACCCCCACTTTGAAGTCTAGAAATGCTGACATTTCCCAAACCCACTGACACTGTTTTCTGCACACTTGCCAGCTTTACTTACTGCCCCCCCCCTCCAGGGGCCCCTTCTTTTAATTACTACAAAACAATAGGAATTTAAAACATACATAAATCTTAGTGTGGCCATAGCCTGGAAACACAATATAGTGACCCTTTAATGAGATGTGGGCTCCATTTTTGTGCCAACTTCCATTCTGTGTTGCCTCTTTAAATTGACCGATTCAATCAAAGAAATATTCAAGTAAAGAATCACACAATATGTTGTTTCTTCAGAAAAATTTGGTGGAGCAGTTTGGCCACTCTTTTTGTCCCAGTGACACAACCCAAATAAGCAGCAGGCTCTCCTGGCTTCTGGCAGCTGTTTTCCCTTGCAAGACTCCAGCAAGTCTGTGAAATGTATAGACTAGAATATATGCATAGAAAGGTACAGAATTTCACAGAATTACAGTTGACCTGTTGCAAAAAAAAAAGCTCCCTGTGTTTTTCATTAATATCCCCAGCTGCAGTTTTCACCTTCTTCTCCTCCATCATGGCTGCATGGGAGAGTTTCAGTTGAAGGTTAATATTCAGGGGTCAGGTTTGTGTGCCATAGATCTGAAACTGATGCAATAAGCTGAAGGAGCAAATGCAGCTAATAATTTTTTTTTAAAATCACCTGTGAGAAATAAAGTGCCAAGTACCAGTACCAAACAGCTGTCAGAAATCATAGAATGATGGAATGGGTTGGGTTGGAAGGGACCTTCAAGACCATCCAGTTCCAACTCCCTGCATGGGCAGGGACACCTCCCACCAGCCCAGGCTGCTCCAAGCCCCATCCAACCTGCCCTTCAACACTGCCAGGGATGGGGCAGCCACAGCTTCCCTGGGCAACCTGGGCCAGGCTCTCACCACCCTCACACTCCACAATTCCCTCCTCATGTCTCACCTCAATCTCCCCTCCTCCAGTTTTCATCCATCCCCCTTGTCCTCTCACTATAAGCCCTTGTCCCTAGCCCCTCCCCAATGCTAAAATTATTATTACAATTATAAAATTCTGTTTCTTAAAGTAATGTATAGTAAAAATATGTTAACAGAAGCATCACCAAATTGGTTTAAGATTAACACAGTAAAAAATAATTAAAAATTGATAAAGTAGTGACCATCTGCATATGGGAGGAATTCAGAGGGGAACCTGTGCTAATTTTCTGTTAGATAGAAACATTCCAAACCACAAGAAGAAGATTTAACAATTTAAAGTGAAATCTGTCTGCGAGGATAAGTTAACATTTTTGTTTTCTTTTTTTAACTGGAGAAATCCAGAACAATATTTAAAAATAGAACTGCTGAAAACACTTCATGGTGATAGAACAAGTCCGGGGATTTTCATTAGATCAATGCAAAGAGATAATACACCATTAACCCTGTTAACACACCAGGTAAAATCCTAGTTTGTTAATGTCAGTGACAGAAATCCTGGTGGCCATGAAACTCGGGTTTCATTCCTTTTTCAAGGAATGGGCAGCATGTCTGCAGCGTGGCTGTGACTGAGGACACTGCTGTGCAGAGCTCGGTGCCTCCAGACAGAACGTGCTCCCTCTCACCCAGCATAGACTCATAGACCCACAGAACCTGCTGAGTTGGAAGGGACCCATCAGGACCATGAGTCCAACTCCTGTCCCTGTGCAGGGCACCCCAAGAATCACCCCATGTCCCTGAGAGCATCAGCCAAAGGCTTCTTGAGCTCAGGCAGGCTTGGTGCTGTGACCACTGCCCTGGGGAGCTGGTTCCAGTGCTCAGCCACCCTCTGGGTGAAAACCCTTGTCCTGATACCCAACCTCAGCCTCCCCTGATCCAGCTTCCTGCCATTTCCCCCAGCCCTGTCACTGCTCACAGGAGTGGAGAGCTCAGGACCTGCCCCATCACTTCCTCCTGAGGAACATCAGGCTGCAGGGAGCTCACCCCTCAGCCTCCTCTACTCCAGGCTGAGCAATCCCAGTGACCTCAGCTGCTCCTCATATGTCACCCCACCCTCGTGGCTCTCCTTTGGACACTCTCCAATAGCTCAATGTCCCTGTGATGCTGTGGTGCCCAGAAGTGCAGGCAGTGCTCCAGCTGTGGCCGCACCTCCCCTGAAATCAGGAGGTGAAACTTCGTCCTTCCCAGCTTACCTGGGAGTGTCTCCAGTGTCTCCAAAGTCCTGCTTCAGCTCTGGTGTGAAGGGCTGAGTCAAACTAAGACCTCCAGAGTCCCCCTCTTGGGTGGTGGGGGCTCAGGACGATACCCCCCCAGTGGCAGAGGTGGCAGAAGAAAAGCAAAGCCTGGTGAAGGCCCAGCTTTCCCTGCACAGTCCTGCCTGGCTCGTGCCTCAGTTTCCCCTCAGACAGCTGCTTTTAAGATACAGGCTTGCCCTGAAGGTGAGGGACACCCCAGGCTGTGGCTCCACCGTGGCCACGTGCACAGAAACCAGCCCAGCTCATTTCATGCTCTGGGAGGTGGCAAGAGCTGGTGATGAAGATATTTTGGCTTAACCAGTTCCCATGCAGCAGCTGAGCCCTGGTGACCATGTGCTTTTACCAAAGGCAAAGCAGGCTGGCTTTACATGTGACCTTTTTTTATGACAGTTTATGGAAGCTGTTTCTGAGCTTGAGTCCTCACGTACCTGGCAGGCCTTCTGCTTTCCTCATGCTTGAGTGCAGAAGAGTCATTTTCACCCAATCTCACTAATTCCTGAAGCCATTTAGTGTTGTTCTGCCTTACCTATCACACAGCAGCTCCCTATCAACAGATCACAGGTCAAAGCCATTTCTAGAGCAGGGTTCTAGCAAGTCTGGGCAAGGGACAACCAGAAGGCTCTAGGAAAAGTGGTATTTCTGCCCATTTTCAGTTTCCTTTCTTCCCCCAGCCCTCCGTGCCCCCCAGAAACTTCACGTAGGTAGGTGTTTGGTTTGGTTTGGTTTTTTTGGACAGGAACCACCTCCTCTTCAATCAGCAGCTGCTGGGTTTCTGGGGATGAGTGAGGGGGAGGAAAAAAATGCATTCCAGTTTGGAAACTCATGTTTCTAAAATGAAATAAATTCAGAATTCGTTTCTTGGGATTTTTTCTTTGTATTTTTTTTTTCCCCTCTGAATCAGGAAAAAAAAAACAACCCAAAATGTCTTGAAAATGGGAAGTTCTGGGTTTAACTGGTTTTTGTCACCCAGATCTGTGACTGGAGCTGTGTTGTTGTTCTGTAGCAATTACTGGGAATGCATGAAGATGGGTTTCAGCAGTCCCACGTTCCTTGCTCAGAGAAGGTTTCTGTGGGCATCAGAGGGAGCATTGTCTGAGCAGGACAACAGCAACCATGCCCTAGTGCCAGAGGGGCTGTTATTTTTTTTCAGTATAATAGAAAAAGACTCAAATATGAGGGAGGCGTGGGAGGAACAGCATGATGAGGCAACATGGGGAACCACATTTTAAAAAATACAATTCTATTAAGTGTCCCTGCTAGTTTATTCCTTGGTTGCATTAGGCATCAGCTAGAAGAAGGAGCAGAAGCTGTTCCATCTAACTAAGTATCTGTGCTTGTAGGTACGTGGAATGGAAATACTAAAGTGGCTATAAAGACCCTGAAGCCTGGCACTATGTCTCCAGAATCCTTCTTAGAGGAAGCCCAAATCATGAAGAAGCTAAAACATGACAAACTGGTGCAACTTTATGCTGTGGTGTCTGAAGAACCCATCTACATTGTCACGGAGTACATGAGCAAAGGTGAAGCTGCAGCTGCTGCTCTTGATAACCATTTTCTGGCTCTGTTGGTGCTCAGTGTGGATGCAGAGGGAGGTGCCCTGAGATGCATGAGCAGCGTGTGAGGCAGGAGAGAGGGAACAGGAAGCTAAATTCACCTCTGGCTTCAGAAGAGTTATTAATTCCACTCTGAACTGGGCCCAAAACCTGAAATCCACGAGATGTACCAAGAAGGTTTGGCTGGGCGGGGGAGGGAGAAGTTGGTTCATCCCAACTGCATCAGCATCTCAGCTCCCCTGACAGGGGGGCTTTGCATTCTCCAGGTTGGAAGGGCATCACATGCTGCTTCCCAAGACCCTCACTTTTCCTGGTGCCAGAGAGTTCCTATCTGGCATCTTTAGTGTTTCCTTGTCAGCCTAAGATTTCTGCTCCTTCTTCCAGCAGCCCTGAGCTGTGTCACGTGCACCTCGCTCTCAGGCCTCGGCTTGACTTCCAGTCCACCTCATTGATCATTTGAGTACAAGATTTGCACATACAGTGCTTTGCCTCCTCTCTGCCCTCTCCTTTCCCCTTCTCCCTTTGCTTTGTCTTTAAAGCTACTGAACTGGTAACGGTGCAGTAAGATGAGAAAAGGAAAACTTTCTGCTCCGTCAGATCTCCAGCGGGGGTGCTGAGAGCAGGGCAGAAAAATGTGCTTGTTTTGGAAAAGCAGAGGAACCAAATAGGAAACATAAGTTCTCACAGGGAAGTTTCATTGCACGTCGGGGGATACATTCTGAAATTCTGAGTGCATTTTTTTTTCAGTCTGTTTGGAGCTGGTTTTTATTTTCCTGGCAGGTGCCTGCCCACCTCCCTCCTCGGAGGCGTCCAAGCCCTGAGTAACTCACACTTTAATCATATGTCTCAGCAACAAGCATGTGCTTTTTCCTCTTTAAAAAAGAGACCTCTCAGAACCCTTCAGAAGTGCGTGGTTTGTTTTGGCTCACTTTACTAGTTTTTACTGTAACATTTTACATCTTTGGATCTGAGCTCCAGGCTGACGAGTTATCAGGGGAGAAACGCCTCATCATCTGTCTTCTCCCCTTATTTATTAAACCAATTCACTGACCTTATTTAAAGGAGACTCTCACACTTGCCTGCTTAAATACAAGATAGGGAAGGGAGCTCTCTCATCCTTGCTGTTTCCAAAAGCTACAGGGAAACTCCCTGTTTTCCCTTGCACTGCGTCCTTGCTGCTTTTGCTAAAATTGCTTTCATTTGATCTCTGCTTGGTCTCCTCTGGTTTTTGCATAGTGGTCTTTTAAAATTAATGGTTCATGCTACGTTTAGTTACGGGTTACCTAGAGAAGGAGCACTACCAGTTTCCAAGGAAAATTAGTCTTTGTTAACGCCAGCCCCTTTGGGTTTACCAGGCTCCAGGCTGACCTTTCATTTGGAGCAGGTTGAGCTGGGATCTGATTTTTTCCATAGCTTGTGTGGCTTGGAACTGAGCTGATGCTTTGCTGCTAACTGAGGCCTTTAGAGAGCAGCAGGTATATAGTTTCAAAGAGCACTGGAGAATTTAAGGAAGATCAGCTTTCTGAGTTATGGTCAGGAAAATGAAAAACAATGCTGGTTCTTTCCCTTGCAACTGGTTTTGGACTAGTGACCCTCTTCTGCAGGCCAACCTGAAAGAAGAGTCTAACAGGAGAATTCCAAAGTACTGTGGGGGTTTCTTTGAGGCTGTCCACTGGATCTCCTGATGCTGCTTGCCTTCAGTGCTGCCCCTACTGCTGTGCCTCCACCCTGATGAACAGCCCTTGTGTCCCTAACATCTCTGTCATGTCAACTTTGCCTTGGCAGGGAGCTTGCTAGATTTCTTGAAAGACGGAGAAGGAAGAGCTTTGAAGCTTCCCAATTTGGTGGACATGGCAGCCCAGGTCTGTCTTTTTTTGAGCCCGTGGGTGTTTTTATAGCCTGTGTGTGTGTCTGAGTTGGTTCTCCAGTGCCCAGCTGTGTTCCTGCAGGTGGCAGCCGGGATGGCCTACATCGAGAGGATGAACTACATCCACAGGGACCTGCGCTCCGCGAACATCCTGGTGGGGAACGGCCTCATATGCAAGATTGCTGACTTTGGCTTGGCAAGGCTGATTGAAGACAATGAATATACAGCCAGACAAGGTAGATACGGGGCCCTCAGGGTGGTCCTTGTGGCAGGGGAACGGCGGGATGTGGCTGTGAGCAGCTGGCTCTGACACGCGCTGCTGACTCCTGGCCCAGGCTTCACTGCTGAGTGTGTCCTCAAGTGAGAGGCTGCTCTAGTTGCCATCCCTTTAAAACTGGCCAAAATGAAACAAAGGTGATGAGTGAGAGCACAGGGGGGTGAACTGATAGTGCAGACAAGCTCCTCATGGTGCCATAACAAAGAGGATGCTTTACTTAACCAGCCTTGGAAGCCTGGACAGGGGAATTCAGAAAACCTGACCTAAACGATTTATTCCACAGAGCGCCTTCCAGTATTTACTAACCACTGTCAACATTGCTGTGCTATTCTTATGTGCTTTTCTTATTTCAGACAGGTGAAAGAATTGTGTCTCTGTGCAGTGGAGCTGTCTGTCTGAGCACCACTATGTTTTCTTTGGGAACTTGAGAAGCTCCATGAATAGGAAAAGCCTTTTCCAGGGCCGTGCAGGTTGCTGGGCACCGCTGGGCTCTGATCCCCTACACAAATCTATCAAAGAGATGTGTGTGTTTCAGACTGAGCCACCACACAGGCTCTTTGTAGTTAGTTGTTCTTCCCAAGCCATGCTCAGCTGTCAGATGTGGGTCCCAGCCTGCAGAGCCACAGCTGTCCTCCCTGTCTGTGGCAGCCGCTGGCAGCGATTGCCCAACCCTGTCAGTAAATGCCACGAGTGGCAGTGCCTGAGCCAGGAGTGCCCCATTCCACCCTCCTGTAGGTCACCAGGAAGCACAGGCCCTCTGAGTGCTGCTCACCTGCATTCACCCCTTCCTGGGTGGCCACATCTGGAATGTTGTGTCCAGTCCTGGGCCCCTCAGTTCCAGAAGGACAGGGAACTGCTGGGAAGAGCCCAGGGCAGAGCCACAGAGATGCTGGAGGGAGGGGAACATCTCCCTGCTGAGGAAAGGCTGAGGGAGCTGGGTCTGTTGGGCTTGGAGAAGAGGAGACTGAGGGGCCACCTCATCCATGGGCACAAATCTGTTCAGGGCAGTGTCAGGAGGGCAGAGCCAGGCTTTGTGCAGTGATGTCCAGTGACAGGACAAGGGGCAGTGGGTGCAAACTGGAGCACAGGAGGTTCCATGTGAATCTCAGGAAGAACTGCTTTGCTGTGAGAGTGACAGAGCCCTGGGCCAGGCTGCCCAGAGAGGCTGTGGAGGCTCCTTCTCTGGAGACATTCCAGCCCCCCTGGCCACGTTCCTGTGTGATGTGCTCTGGGTGCCCCTGCTCTGGCAGGGGGGCTGGGCTGGGGGAGCTTTCCAGGTCCCTTCCAACCCCTGAGATTCGGTGATTCTGTTGGGAGCTTTTTTCTCTTGACCAGGAGTCCCTGTTTCAGCCTGGATTTTCCCTTTTATTCTTAGGAAAGCTGACCTCTTTCTGTAGCTTCCAAGTGTTGACAGAAGGAGCCAGAGAGTTTCCAGCATGCCTTCTCTTGGCCTGGAAGCAGCAGCTCTCATGTGGACCATGGGCTGCCTGTCCCCTGAAAGCTGCCTGCTTCATACTCAGGCCTGGTTATGTCTTAGAGACCCTGGGGAGGGTCTGTAAGAACCCGTGGTGGGTGCTAGTGTGGAGAGTTAACCACTATTCACGTCAGCCCGAGGGTGGGAATTGCTCAGTGCTAGAAAAAAATAGCCTGGTGTCATTCTCTCCAGAGTAATGAGAGTGTCTGCAGGCTCTGGTGGACAGAGAACTGCCTGCCTGCCCTTCCCCTGGGTAAACAGGGAAGAGTTTTCCTTGAACAAGGCAGCCAGATCCAATCTACTAAATGGCTTTGAAACAGTGTCCTATACTATCTCCATTTTTGTCTGTTTTACTGTCACATCTTTTGTTCCCTTTGGAAACCACCCAACATATATTTTGACATGATTAATCATTTGTTTTAATAGACAAGTGTGTGACCTACTTGGGGCCAGATCTCTTCAGGCTCCTGATCCCTAGGAAATCCTCTGATGAGCTGTTTGCTTCCTGGTTTAAATCTCTCAGAATTGTTTTGCCCTCTTCATGTGGTTAAAAGCTGTGAAGCCCTGCCTGCCTGCTGTTGAGGAGAGGCTTACATTGTAAAAGTCAATAAATATCACCTGATTTGGGGTGGAAAAGCTTTAGGCTAAGAAAAGCATCATGTCAAGGACTGGCAGGGAGAGTGGTCATGGGTATCTCCTACCCATCTTCCATGGCAGAAATCACTTGTATTCTGGAAAAAGTGGCTGGGAAGGGACAAGTAGTTTGGCTTTTAACCTGCATTGCTGATGATCTGGAGATCTGAGTCATGTTTGCCTGGCTTCATCTTGTGGTGTAAATATGGAGAAGTCATCCATCCCTCCCATACTTGAGAGCAGGGGACAAAACTTCCTTCCCCTGACCTCAGGGCCAGGCTTAAATCTTTCAGAGCAGCAGAATTCCTTAAAAGGGAGACCCAGAGAGCTGTAATCACAGCCATCTTGTGGGAAGGCTTTCCTGCTTTCACTGATGGTTTTTTGATCCTTTCTTAAGTGGCAGCTTGTTCCAGGGAGGGCTGCATTTTTGGAACGAGCGGCACCCTCTCCATTTACATTTCGTTGCAATTAACCTGCCTTCCAAGCCAGTTGGGCAGCCCGGGTGAGCTGGCAAGGACCTTTCATTTATTGAGGAAGAAAGATGGTTTTTAATGCACCCCTGGAGTTTTTCTCCGAGAGAGATTCAGTCCCGGTTTGTTTAGTTAAACTTCACTCTGAGCACTGCTTGGTGGAGACCACAGTATCAGAAGGAAATGGTTGCCTCTGCTTGTTTCCCATGACCTATTACTTCATCCTCCAAGGGGATGCATCTGGGGACTGCTCTGTTTATCTGGCTGCCTGCTGCTGCAGTGGGAATTCTGACCCGGGAGGAGAGCCCGGCCAGCAGCAGGAGGGGGGCAGAGACTGCAGCAGCAGAAGGGAAATGTTTTGCCTTAAAAAATCTGAAGCCTCTCTCCTCAGCAGTCATCCTTCTCTTGGCTTTAGTGTGTTAGTACAGAGCTCATTGTCAGCGTGGGGAAGAGGTGGTTTTCTCCAGCCTTGCTTGATCTCCAGCTCCCTTCCCCCACTGTCACTTTTGTCTCCAATTAAATACTTTGAAAGGAAACAGATGGGGATGCTTTGAGCCCCAGCGGGCTGGAGTGCAGGATTCCTGAACCTGGATGGGTATTACTCAGCCTGGTGGTAACTTTTTGGTTGGAACAAAGGGGGCCTGGCTGCTCCTGACTGATGGGAGGTGAACAGAAAGCGGTTTGTTGCCTGCGCTGCCATTTCTCAGCAGTCGTCAGGAAGGAAAGAAATGGCCATGCCACTAATGATTTAAAGTGTGTGACTAGCAGCTATACCCTGCCATGAAATATGACAAAAAAAAAAAAAAAAAAAAAGGTCTTGGCTTGTAATGAGCATTTGGCTCCTCTTGCTGTTAGAGGAAGTGAGTAATCAAAAGGGGAAATCCATGTCCAAGCGACGCCCGTTGGGAAGGCTGCCCTGCTGCGCTGGGCTGCACCCCTGGGCCTTGCTGCTCCTGGATGCTGCTGCTGCAGCATCTCCCCCAGCCCAGCGTGCCAGGCAGCCCCAGCCCTGCCTCCTTCCAGCCACGGTGGTGCTTGTGCCAGCCCTGTGAGGCAGGACTGGGAAACTCCTGGTGCCCTGTGGGGCTGAGAGAAACTTCACCTCCAGGATGGGATGTCCCAGGCAGGCAGCTCTGCTGCCCTTGCACTGAGCTGGGCTGCAGCTCCATGGAGCCCTGGCCAAGCACATGGCATTTCTGTGGAGAGTTGCTGGGGAAGGGTTGTTACTATTCTGGGCAGCAGCAGCTGATACAAATTTAAAATTGCCTTAATAATAATAATTTTTTTTAAAAAATGAAAAAGGCAGAGTTATTTTCCAGGCCGTGTTTCTGCTGCACACAGTGGCAGAACTTGCAGCAGGGCTGCTCCAAGCACACATGAAACAATAAGGATCTTTCTGATGCCTTCCAGGCAAGTCAGAGCTATTTTTGGAGCTCTAGGACGTGTTTATAAACTCCCAGATAATTTTTGCCTCCTTAACGCTTAGAAAGATCCCCTTCCTGCCCTGCTACAGAGCAAGTGATGCTTCTTATTTTGGTTTCCTAGAAATGAGCAGGGACTTTTTCACCCTTCCAGGCTTTCCCTAGTCCTTCTGTAGAGACTTGGTTCCCAGCTCATCAGATCTCTCTGGTTTGTGACCGAGTGTCCCGTGGGCTGGAACCTTCAGGGCTTTGTTCTTGCTCTTTATCTGCCATCTGCTCTGGGAGAAGGGGCACAGCCAGGTCAAGAGGAAGGCAGGCAGAGGGTGAGAGGGGTGTTCAGACCTGCAGTTCTGCCCCTCGCCCCCCACTTCCAGGGGAGGGATCAGCCTCCAGGGCCTGCCTCTGACTGCTGATGTTGCCAGGCCTGTCACTTGGTGCGGGCTCTCCCAGCACACCCAGTGCAGTCGCTCAGTCCCTCCCGCACACCCAGGGCTGACTCCTTTCCTCTTACGTGCTTTGGTTTTACCTTCTGTGACTTTCCCTTTCCAGACCCAGCAGCAGTTCAGTCCTACACCACCTCCTCTGGTCACTAACCTGAGAGTTCCCCCATTTTCTGGGTCTGGGAGCCCGGGGTGCTGCGTTGGGTTTGGGCTGCAGCTCTGAGGGGCAGCAGCTTTGCGGCGTTTCCGGAAACAGGATCATTATCAAGCTGGCGGTGGCTCTGGGGCACGAGTTTCTGAGGTTTCTGCTTCATAGAGATTTAGATCTGACCAAAAAAAAACAACAAAGCTCTGAGGGATTTCTGCTGGCCTCAGAAGAAGCCATGCTGAGAGCTGAACGCCAAGGTCACCCCATTATCCCAGCTCCCTGCGCTCCGTCTCGTCACGCGACCTGCCTGTAGCCAGTGAAGGATTAAAGCAGGGCCACTGATGGGTTTTTCCCAGGGAAATCCTCCTGGGAGATAGATAACCTGTGTGAACGCCTGGGCAGAGGTCCCAGGAGCTTCACAGAAATCCTCAAGAGGCATGAGGCAGCTGCCCTGGCAGGGAACTGTGTGAGCAGCTTTGGCTCGAGGAGGTTGCAAGAAGCAGAGACCAAAAAAGGCTTCTCCGGGCTGAAAGGTTCCCAAAAAGGGACAGAGGTAAAAGCTCCAGATCAGTTCCTTGCCGTGGGGCACAGACAGGCTATCCTGACCTGATGAATGCCATGCGTTCTGTTCCAGAAAAATAAAAGAGATAAATCCCCCCCCCAGTGATGTAAAATCTGCCCTCCAAGTGGGAGAGGCTCCCTGTCAGCTGGGGCTGCTCTGCTGTGTTAACGTGCTTGTCAGTAACAGGCATCTTATCTGATGATCTGGTGCTGTAATTTGTCTGCAGCACAAAGTCAGCTTGTTTAATAAGCTGCTGAGGCCTGGGCAGAGGGAAGGGCTGGGGTTGTTTAATTGGTGTGTTGGGAAGAGGGTAAGTGCAGGGACTGTGTGTCGGTCAGGAGCCCGGGCAGGGGCAGAGGGGAGGCTTCAGAGCTCAGCACAGGGGGGTTCTGTGCTTGCACACTGCCTGTGCCTCCAGGGACAGACATCAGGTGGGAGGCAGCACCTGAGGGGGGTCACACAGATCCATTCACACTGTCTGTGTGATCTCTGTGTTAGGGCAGTGCTGAGCAGGTGGCCAGCCTGGAGCATCCTCTCTGCTCTCTGCTTTCCCCTTAGTGATGGCTCTACCAGACTGGGTTGCCAGCTCTCTTGGACTATATAGACTCTGGCATATGTTGCATGGCCAGAAGAAGATGATCCTTGGGCTGGAGCAGCTCTGCTCTGGAGCCAGGCTGGGAGAGTTGGGGTGTTCAGCCTGGAGAAGAGAAGGCTCCAGGGAGACCTCAGAGCACCTTCCAGGGCCTGAAGGGGCTCCAGGAAAGCTGGGGAGGGGCTTGGGACAAGGGCAGGGAGGGAGGGAGAGGACAAGAGGGGATTAATTGTCCCCCATTCTCACCTACTCACCTTGCTTCTCATCTTCCCATGGTCCCTCGACACCACATACTTCCCTCCCAGTGCCACACCAGCAGTAGGTGAGGAAGGCAGAAATACCAGGGGAGTTGGACACAAAGGAGTCTGGAGAGATTTCTTTCCTCCAAAGATGAGTTGTAGGTGGTTGCTACCCTTGGATCTGAGTATGAAGCACAGGGGAATTAGGCCATGTTTGGCTCAGCTTCTCAGAAAAACACAACTGATTAAAGAAAAAAGGCAAGTTGAGTAAAATGCCTGCAACATGTGAGTGATCAAACCCTCCTGCTTGGCTGTGCCAACGTCCAGGCCCCTGGGCTGCTGGCCAGCCTGGAGCTATTCCTGCAGCTCCCATGGTGTGAGCACCATCTCAGCTGCAGAGATGAGCCCTGCTGTTCCCAGCTTGCCTGTTGGAGCCCATCTGAAGCCATGTCCACAAGTTTTCCAGGGGTCAGCAAGAGGTGTAGAGCCCCAGGGGCTGGGGGAGCTGGTTGCCAACCCCACGTGTTGGTGCTGCTGAAGGAGGGCCAGATTCCAGGACAGAGGCTGCAGACATCTCAGACATCTCAGACAAGGTGGTTTTTAAGAGAAGATGAGGTTCTGCAAATTTGGAGTCTTGTAAACTGAGGCTGGTCCCATGAGGATGTGTAAGGTCAGGGAGGTGGAGACCAAAGCCAAGCACCTGAATTTTAGCTCCTGCCTGCATAGCAACTAATGAAAACACAGAGGAGGCAGACTTTTCTGGAAGTGAACAGATATCCAAAATCCTCCAACTCCTGCAAACCTAACCTCTGATGTGTTGGCTCTTAACTAGATGCAAGTTTCTGACTTCAAGCATTAGGGATGTGAAACTTTGTCTGGCATATTTTAATTTAGCAGCACTTACTTGAGCAACTGCATTTGTCCCTAGAAAAATATACTTGCTTCTGAGTAATATCAGAACTCAGACTCTGCTCAGGGGTGTCCAGGGACAGGACAAGGGGCAATGGGCACAAACTGGAGCCCAGGAGGTTGAAGCTGGAGATGAGGAAACCCTTCTTGAGTGTGAGGGTCCCGGAGCCCTGGGCCAGGCTGCCCAGGGAGGCTGTGGAGTCTCCATCCCTGCAGACATTCCAGCCCCACCTGGCTGTGTTCCTGTGGGATCTGCTCTAGGGGATCCTGCTCTGGCAGGGGTTGGACTGGGTGATCTCCAGAGCTCCCTGCCAACCCCACCACTCTGTGGGTCTGTCTTAGGATCACTTACATGTAGTGCAGGAAAAATGTTAGCACACCTGATGTTTTACTGAGTAAGGAGATGAGAATTCCCATGTTTACTGTGAGTCCCATCAGAGCAGGGTGTAGAGCAGGAGACAGAGGGCATGGAGAGGGGAGGTGACAGCAGCACCAGGCCAGCAGGGAGCTGTAAAAAAGGGCCATAACTTCACTCCCTGAGAGTGATTTGTCCACGTTGTTAGAGTTTCCACACTCCTGAAAGCCAAGGGGGAACTTTTATGAGAGGGTGATGAGAACTCCAAGTCAGTCTCTTTCCAAATTTGGGAGTGTTTGTCCCCAGGGATCAGCAAGAAGCCACGCAGCTCCTTTGACTGCATCTTAACACAAGGCACCAGGGAAATGTCTGCATAGTTTTTCATATGTACTGTGAGTTGATTATTACCACAAGACTTTATTCTTTAAAAGTCATGCTGAAAATATTTTCCCTGAGAAAACAGTGAATTATTGGAAAAGCAAATAAATCAGTGTGTAAAGGCTTGTTATCTCACCATCCTTACCACAACTGGCTCCTGCAGGCTCTGATGATGGATGAGCACATTAGGGCTGCACGTATTGAAGGCACTACAGGCTTTTCAGTGCCAGGAGCTTAAAGTAACTGTCAAGTTATAAATCAGAGGCCAGGGCTGGGCCTTGACATCCCTGCACTCCCAGCAACTCGGATGACAGTGTTATTTTGAAGTCCTTGCATGTTTCTAATGAAATATTAGGTTTGTTTTTAATTTACGGTTTACCATGTTTGTTTTGCATTTTGCCCTGCTTGAGCAGGGGAACTGGGAGGTGCATTTCCCATAAATCTCACTTCTGTTCAGATGTGCTGTGTTTGACTTGCAAATATCTTGGGGAAAAGTTAATTTAAAGCATTTCGGGAGAAGGAATTTCTATTATATTTGGCTTATTGGTTTTTAAAAGTTTGTTGGTTGTTTTTTGGGGTTTTTTTTCTTTCTGTTACAGGACTTCAAACCTGAATTTAAGTGTCTTCACCTTCTCCTGGGGACAAACCCACCCCTTCCCTGCTAGGTCTTTCCTTCTGCCCTGCATCTTCCACCCTTCTGCCCTCTGACCATACTCCCTGGAGCTGTTAGTTCACTCTTGCCTGCAGCTCTGTCCACCTGCAGAGCACAAGGCTCACCTGCCAGCTGGCCCTCTGATGCTGTCTCTGTGCTGACCAAGACCCATTTTTTCCATTCCTTAGGTGCAAAGTTTCCCATTAAATGGACTGCACCAGAAGCAGCTTTGTATGGAAGGTTCACGATAAAGTCGGATGTGTGGTCCTTTGGGATCTTGCTGACAGAGCTGGTAACAAAAGGGAGAGTGCCATACCCAGGTAAGAAAACAGCCCCAGCCCTGCTTCCCCTGGGGAAAGGAGTGGGAAGGAACCAGATGCTTCAGCTGGAACGTTTTGTTTCTTTCCACTGGGCTCCAAGGGGGATGAGTGTCGTGCACAGCCTCTGTGTGTGCTTGAAGAGGGTCCCGACTCTGGGAGCTGCCTTTTGATGGTCAGGAGCAAAAATTACAGGAGGACAGGAGGTCAAACACACTCATTGCTACATTTTGTAGTTGTTCTCAATTCCATTCATACGCTTTCTAGCCAAATAATGAAAGCAATGTAGAATGACTGTGCTGTGGAGCAAATAGCTCTGCATAGCACTGTGCTCACTGTAAGATACCAACAGTATCCAGTCCCAGGGTGGCACTTCTCCACTCATGCTGTCTGTCGGGTTCTCTGCAGGCTTTGATGACTGTCTGAATCTCTGGTGTCACCAAATCTCTTTTTTATAAACTCTTAACACTTCAGTCCTTCCTTTTGAGGTGGCTGGAAAGGAAAGACGATAATTCTGTACCGCGCAGGCCAGAGCTCACGGCAGGGTCACAGTGGGGACAGATTCTCTGCAGGGGGGAACTGGAGGCCCCGTGACTCTTTCTTGAAACCCTGCCAAGAATCCGAGGGATTAAGGTTTGCAGGAGGGGTGATTGGATCTGCTTCCCCTTCTGTTGCCCCCCTGAAGACTGTAGGGTTCAGGTGAAGAGGAGGGGGTGAGGGGGGAGCAGTGCAGTGCGTGGAAAAGAACTGAATCCCTGCATTTCCTCATCAGCACAGACACTAACTAACAAGAGGGCATTTAGCTGCATCTTTATCCTGTTTATAGAAATAAGAATTCTCTAAATACTCACCAGCATGGCTGTGTGCACTGCAGCTGTTTTAATGGAAAGTGCCCTAAAGCAGTTTCAATTTTCCAATCATGTGCCATGATCAAGCTGTGCAATCCTTGCATCAGGCTGCACAGGAGAAGCATCAAGGTGGAGCTGAGTTTTCTGGTGGTACCTCGTGCCACTTCAGAAGGCTGAACTCGGCACAGCTCCCAGAGTTTTGCCAGGAATGTCTCAGGGGAGACCTGATCACTGCCTACACGTGTCTGAGGGTGGGTGCAGGAGGATGGAGCCAGACTCTGCTCAGCAGTGCCCAGGGACAGGGCGAGGGGCAACGGGCACCAGCTGGAACATGGGAAGTGCCCCTGAAAGGTGGGGAGAAACTTCTTGGCTGTGAGGGTGACAGAGCCCTGGGACAGGCTGCCCAGGGGGCTGTGGAGTCCCCTTCTCTGGAGAGATTCACCCCTGGATGCAGCCCTGTGGGATGTGCTCCAGGGGGTCCTGCTGGAGTGGGGTGGGACTGGATGATCCCTGGAGGTCCCTTCCAGCCAGGACAGGTCTGTGTCAATTCAGTGTTAAAGAGGAACATCTCGGTCTCTACCAGCAGAGTGGGTGCACAGGGCCCTTCTCTAGCCAGGGCAGAGTTAAGGTGACTTTTTTTCCCCTGAGCTGCATGTTGGTGGGGCAGAGATGCTCAGTGCCCAGCCCTCCCTCTTGTCATGTGCGTGAGCACAGGCACGTGGACACACACAGGGAAAACACTCTGTCAGGCACAAGTGACAGCCCAGCCCTGTGTTAATGCACCAGTTGGTAACTGAGCCCAGTGCTGGCCGTGGCAGCAGAGGCTGGCTGCACTTCCCAAGTGTGCCTTTCCCTCTCTGAAGCAGAGGGAACTGGACGTGCCTTGAAGTGCTGGCAGGATGTGACTTCTTGTCGGACCCCTGACAGCAATCTCAGGCATGGTCTGTGTCCTGAAGGTGTGGAAGTTTTATTATGTGGCAGTTTGAGCACATCCAAGGCAGCCACTCCCCTCTGCCAGCCCCGTCCTCTCCTTCCCCTCACCACAGAAACCCCTCATGTGCTGAGGTCCTCCTGGCTCACTGCCCCCCACCCCTGCCAGGAAGGCATCAAGTAGCTGGAAGCAGCTTGTTGGGTGTTGCATCCCTCAGGGCCAGCAGGTTTCTGGATGCTCAGGTTCTGCCTCAGTTCAGCTGCCCCTCCCTCCCACCGGGACTCCCACCCTGCTCATTAACCCTTCTCCTGGTCACCATCACACCTCTACGTCAGGTTTACCTATTTTAAATTTGAATTTCCAACGTCTTTAGAGATTTCAGTTTGGTCTCTTTCCCCAGACCCTGACTGGCAAAACTTTCATGGGCTTGAGGCAAGAGTGGTGGGGAACTGGGACCTCCTCAGAAGGTTTTGTCTTTGCATCTGGGTTCAAAAGAGGACTTGGACTTCCCAAAACTACAAAGACCTCCTGAGCTTCTCAGTAAAGACTATTTTCCCCTGACATAGAAAGAACCATCCAACTCCTGCTTCCTGCTG